GTAAAAAGCAAAAGATAGATAATGGAAATGGAGTTATAAGAAATGTGTTTTAAAATAAAGTTTTCTAAATACGAAGAATAGATTTAGAATTTTTAATAAGCTTTTGAAGCACGACCATTGAATTTTATTGAGCCATGAACCAATTTGACAAACCATGAACCATTTTCAACCACGACCAAAACTAAAAGCCAAAAGTTTTTTTTTGTGTAATGCTACAAAAATGTGTTACAGATCTCCAGTATCTCGAAAATCATGATATTTTCACACGGTATATAAACTATATCTTCCTAAAATGGCGATAATTTGCCAACGTCGCAAGTAACAAAAAACAATTTACGGATCATATGTAGCGTTTCAGCTGCATTCCATGAGCTAATGAAAAATGGGTAGTTCTATTTAAAAATACACTTTGATCTTGCCTCGCTTTTCTGAGACTCACATATATCGTATCATATAAGATATTTTTAAAATGTGCGCACTTTGTGCGTCAACATCTTTTATATGAAACTATTTTACGAAAGTTCAACACCAACGGAAATAATGGACTCTCCCGCACTAAAAAAACACCCTGTATATTTATCATTACGTTACATCTTATCGACTATGGAGTCATTGTTAAATATAGACAGTTTCAGATTAGTGAGAGTTTTAAATTTATTGGTGTCAAATGGCGCTATAGTTTATGTTTATTGATATTTTTATTCGACGCTATTTTGTCTTAGTTTTAATCTACATTAGACCCACTTTATTTTCAAGGCTTTTGAGTGAGTACAACTTTCATGTAGACACGGAGTTTCTTATTTATTCTTTTTATAAAGATTTAATTTTGAGTTAAAAATTACTCGTTATTGAATTGATAAAGAAATTGTTCTTCGAATGTTACCTTCAACACATTATTTATTAATATATGGTCTAGTGTTCATATTTTTACTAATTTTAGTGGTTTAATTTGTAACTTAGATGCAATATCATATTATTCCCTTTTTCTTTCCCGGTATATCACTAGCTTGGATTGTCCATAAAGCGTTAAGGCAGGGTTTCCCAAACATTTTCGATTATGGAACACTTTGCAAACTCAGAAATTTGAACGGAACACTTGGTTTGATTTTTAAGTTGATTTCTGCTGAACTTTATTTGAACACCCAAAAAACGTTTTTCCACTTTGCCGAAACTTTATACCTAGCAGTTTGGGAACCTCTGCTTTAAGGAAGTAGAACTACCCCCCCTTCAACTATCGAAAATTATCTATGTTAATTTGGGCTCTTAATTGTTGATAACGAATTTTTTTCCAGAATGTCATAATATATTTGTTGATACTGTTACAATATAATTAAAACATTTTTTGAGTTTGATGTGTGAACTTGCTATGTATAGTATGATAACTTTTGTGATTTTATAAACCTAATAAATTATATTATTATAAAAACTGGTATTTGTTTCATTACCAAGTATCAGAGATATTCAAGTCGTCATATATCATACTCTTCTTCTTATCTCTGTCATGGTAGGCCTATGGACTGTTTTTTCTTCGATTTTTATTAGCCACGATCCAGATTAGCACTCCACCTCTTTCTTGGCCGACCTATACTTCGTCTTGATTTGGTGACTTATCTGTAGCAATACGAGCTAGTATATTATTAGCAAAAATGGGTTCTTGGGTCTTGTCAGGCAGACTCACCACGCACGAATCCAACGCTATTTCCGCGTGTTGCGTGTCCTTTATGGGCGGCTGCGTGAGCGACCGGGGCTAAACGGCCTTATGCACATTCGGGAACCGTTCCTCTATCAAAAAGGTGCCAAATTTTAATATTTTAAATCTGAATCTACAATCATTAATGCTCTCCGTTTTGCACACTTGTCTAATGTTCTCACTCCTTTCTCTCCATGAAAGTCTCCCCTGTGATTCTCCTTAGTATCTTCATCTCCGTTGTTTCTAGAAGTTGTTTTGTTTCGGATGTGTCTCGTCTTGTTTCTGCTGTATAAGTCATGATGGGTCTTATCTTGTAAATCTAGCTTTGTAAATGCTTGTTTTTGTTTCTTGCTTTAGGTGATACTTTGCTGGCTGTATCTACTTGTTCTCGTACTTCCTCTTCTACGTTTTCATAACTTGTAATTTCTATGCCCAGGTATTTGAGCTTCATTTCCTGTTTGATTACTTCTCCATTCACTTCAAGTTTACATCTAAGTGGCTCCTTTAAAGTCGTCATACATTTTATTTTGTCTGTTGAGATTATCATGTTATATTTGTTTGCTGTTGTGTAGAAAGTGTGAATTAATATCTGCAGATCGTTTTCACCTTCCGCAACTATTACGGCGTCGGCAGCAGAGTATTCCGCGGAGCAGAGTATTTTTATTTCCGTATCGCCCAGATAATACCCGTTGCCAAGTCGTACTTTTTTTAAATATTTCACCCATAATAACATTGAAGAGAAATGGGCTTAGAGAATAGCCTTTCCCGATCCCACCATTAATTGGTATGTCACCTGTTAAATTTACATTAATGCGGGCCTTAACTTTGGTGCCGTAGTTAATGTCTTCTATGATTTGGATTATATTGATGGGCATGTCTCTTCTGTATAACACGTGTACTATAACATCTATTTTTACACGATCGAATACTTTTTTCAGGTCAATAAAGCATAGAAAGGCCGGATTATTATATTCTATGGATTTTTGTGCTCTGTCTCAGTACAAATACAGCATTCACACATGATCTTCCAGATCTGAAACCCCGTTGTTCCTCTGAGAGTGAAATAATAGAGTTAAGCTTATTAGTAACAACCTTGGTCATTAGTATATGTGCAGTTTCCAGCAAGTTTATGCCTCTATAGTTTGGTGGTTCTTGTTTGTCTCCCTTTTTAAACATTAAAATTGTTGTACTTTTTTCCATTTGTCGGGGATTCTGCATTGTGGTAGAATGTTCTGAATAAGATTTGTTAGTTAGTATTTGTGTTAGTTTTTCGCCTCCGTATTTTAGTAATTCATTCTTAGCCCGTCTTGTCCTGGTGATTTTATGTTTTTTATTGATATCTAGGCTGTTTTAACTTCATTTATAGTAACTTCTACGTGTTGTCATATATATGATTCTACATTTACTTTTTCTTCATTGGGTCCGCCAAATAGCTTTGTCAGATATTTTATCCATTTCTCTTCCGATATTTTATGGGTTTCTTTTGTGTGCCTTTGTGTGCTCGTTTCTTGTGTGCTATAAAAATCTCCCTCCAGTCTCATTAAAAACTTTCCCAATGCTCATTTGTTAATTTTCGGATTAGTGATTTGGTTTCATTGCGTGTTTCTGTGTATTGTTGGTATGTTTTAAAAAAACGCCTCTTTTTTGTTTACATTTTTCTTTTATTTCTTTCCTAAACCACGGTGTTGTATTGAAAGTTCCATCTGAATTACTTTTGATTTCTCGTGTGCCGAGCGCTTCTCTAGCGGCATTCTCTATGCTTTCTCTAATTATTTCCCAACTGCTATTAATGTTCTCAGAAATGCTATCAAGTTTTTCGGCTAGTCTCCTTTGGTAAAGACCTTTAGTTGATTCATTCTATAATGTTACTACGTTCATTTTTTCTGTTGTTATTGGTTCTTCTTAAAGTGGTCTAACTCTAACAATAAGATTTTTCATATTTTGAATAACACTTAATAAAATAGTTCAAAATTGCTTCTTGTTTTTCAAAAATATTCCAATACAGGGCAATTCAAAATTGGCGTCATTCCTTTTAAGGGGTGATAGACGCTCCCTTGGGGAGTACGAGAAAAATATTGAAATTTTTTTTTCGAAAATTTCTAGGACATATTAACAGTTGAAAATCGAATTACAACTTTGCTATTAAGCATTATTTTGAAAAAATACCACGTTAGATTGGTAGCATATTGGAATACTTAAGCATTCAAAAAGAAAAATTCCCATCTTTGCTTCAAATTACGAAAATTTTTGATACCAAAAAAGTGCTCTT